GGAATTGTGTTCCATCAGGACAACGTCAGGCCACACACATTGATAGTGACTCCCCAGAAGCTCCGGGAACTTGGTTGGGAGGTTCTTATGCATCCACCTTATAGCCCGGACCTGGCACCAAGTGATTACCACCTGTTCCTGTCTATGGCGAATGATTTTGCTGGTGAAAAATTCGCTTCAAGAGAAGCTTGTGAAAATCGACTGTCCCAGTTTTTTGCCAATAGGGACAAGGGTTTCTATGAGAGAGGCATAATGGAATTACCTTCAAAATGGCAACAAGTTATCGAACAAAACGGTGCATATTTGACCTAAATCGGATCATTCTAACTATGCTAAATAAAGCCTTCAATTTCATGCAAAAATAATGGATTTCTTTTTACTACACCTTATATATATATATATATATATATATATATATATATATATGAATCAAGAAAGATGTCGGACACCTTATATATGTATATGTATATATATATATATATATATATATATATATATATATATATATATATATATATATATATACAGGGTGTCCGAAACCTTTCTTGACACAAATAATAGGAACGTAGAACAGATTAAACGGAATAGAAAAGTCAAATATCATTTTGCGAAATTCGCAATAATTTTCAAGGAATTAATTATTTTGTCTGAGCAAATAAGTCCTCGAGCCGGCGCGTGACTGATACGCGTGAATAGCGACTCGCGACTGATACGCACGAATAGCGGCGCGCGATCATGATACACGCAAATCGCGACTCGCTGCGTCCCTCCGCTCTCGTGTCCGATGTCTCGTAGCCATAGTTACCATAGTTACGAGATACAGCGTAGCTATGGGCGAAAGGACACAGCGAGCCGCGATTCGCGTGTATCACGGTCGCGCGCCGACCCGAGCGCTAATTTGTTCAGACAAAATAATTAATTATTCGAAAACTATTGCAAATTTCGGAAAATGGTATTTAACTTTTTGTTCTAATCCGTTCTACTTTCCTACGAATTGTGTCAAGAAAGGTTTCGGGCACCCTGTATATAGAGTGTTCCATTTTAACTTTCACACCGAAATATCTCAAAATATACAAAAAAATACGGAAAAATGTTTCAAACAAAAGTTATATGGTTCGATAGAGGACATAAGAAAGTACCATTGGTTTGACAGAATGGCATCGCCAAGGTCAGGTAGAGGTCAACATTATTTTTTTTTAATAAAAGCATATATCTTTTATTATATAATTTTATTCTACGTGAAGAAACAAACAACTTTTGTTTGAAAAAAATTTTTATTCGACCTCTATTTTCTAAGATAATTACGAAAATATCTACAAAATTATTGGTTTTAATAATATTTTACTAGAATTCTATCAACTTTATGGAAAAATAGTAAGAGATAAAAATTGTTTATTTTCTTCTCATCAAGCTCTGAGAATTTTTGATAAACTCTTTGTACTAAGAAATTGCAAGAAAATGCAGTACTAAGAAGTTAATTAAAAAAATCTGAAAACATTCTCAGAGTTCTAGGAGAAGAAAACAAACAATTTTTATCTCTTGCTATTTTTCGGTGAAGTTGATAGAATTTGAGTAAATAATTATTGAATCCAATAATTTTGTAGATTTTTCCGTAAATGTCTCAAAAAATAAAAGTGGTATAAAAAATTTTTTCAAACAAAAGTTGTTTATTTCTTTACATGGAGTAAAATTCCGTAATAAAAATATATGTTTTTATTTAAGAAAGCAAAATTGATCTTGATTTGATCTTTGCAGCGCCACCCAAAGTCAAACCAATGATACCTTTTTATGTACTCCATCGAACCATATAATCTTTGTTTGGAACATTTTTCCATATTTTTTGTACATTTCGAGATATTTCAGTGTAAATGTTAAAATAGGACTCCCTGTATATACACGGGATGTCCCATTTTAAAAGATGCACTCTGATAATTCTTCAACCAAGCATATTCAGCAAAAATGTTTCAGACAAAAGTTGTCGGGTTCAGACATCTTGTCGGGACATCTGAAGGTGATATTGACTTTGACCTAGGAAGTCGTTTTGAAGGTTATTCGAAGGTCAACTTTGCTTTTTAAATAGAAACATCTATTTTTCTATTATGGAATTTTATTCCACGTAAAGAAACTAACAATTTTATTTGAAAACATTTTCTATACCTCTTTTCTAAGATATTTACGGAAATATCTACAAAATTATTGGTTTCAATAATTTTTTACTCGAATTCTGTCAACTTTACCAAAAAATGACAAAAGATAAAAATTATTTATTTTCTTTCCATAGAGCTCTGAAAAATTTTTCAAAATTTTTCAATTATATTGTATTTTGTATTTTCTTATATTGTATTTTCTTGCATTTTCTTGAAGTACTAAAATGTTTGAAATAAAAAATTCTCAGAGCTCTATGAAAAGAAAATAAACAATTTTTATGTCTTGCTGTTTTTAAAGTTAATAGAATTTGAGTGAAAAATTATTGAAACCAATAATTTTGTAGATGTTTCCGTAAATATCTTAGAGAATAGAGGTCGTATAAAAATTTTTTTCAAACAAAAGTTGTTAGTTTCTTTACGTAAAATAAAATTTCGTAATAAAAGATATATGCTTCTGTTTAAAAAAACAAAGTTGACCTTCGAATAACCTTCAAAATGACTTCCAAGGTCATATTTTTAGATGTCCCCCTCTGAATCCAACAACTTTTCTCTGAAACATTTTTGCTGAATATGCTTGGCTGAACAATTATCAGGGTGCATCTTTTAAAAGGGGACACCCTATATATACACACACGGAGGATATATATACAGGGTGTCCCACCTATGTTTTATGTTTTATGATAGGAGGATGCTAAAGGGAATATTATTCAGTTCGAGGAGACAAATACTGTAAAAAACAAAAAATTTTTCTCAAGGTCATATTTTTTAGAATTTTGAGGTCATTATCATTTTTTATATGAGACTATATTTTTATCATTGCGATATGATAGAAAAAAAAATATAAAAACAAAAAAAATTTCTAGCATCATAAAACATAAGCGAGATATTTAAGATGGCCAAGTGAAATGGGACACCCCATTTACAGGGGTGTATACAGGGTGCCACCGAACAAAGTGGCCAAATTTTGATACCGTGCTCTACTCTTCCTAAGAATGTCCCTTTCGAAATATCTCGAAAAAAATGAGTTTCTGGACCTATGTTTATATGACCTTTTTTTCATCTTTAGGAAGAGTAGGATATGGTAACGAAGTTTGGCCACCTTGTTCGATGTCACCTCGTATATATGAAAAAAGTCAAAGACGTAAATTGTTCGATTTAAAGGAATTAATATTCTGGTAGAGTGTAACATATCTTTTTTACTGTTGCTTTTTACGAGATTTCAAAGTTATCGACATTTCTTTTAATGGAATAACATTTTTATTAACATAATGATGTAACTCATAAAAAACAAATTTAACCATATAGTACATGTTGACCTTCAAATGACTTTGAAGAAAAATCACGTTTAGAAAAACAAACTGAAAATTAATGTTTCAGTTACAAAGATGTACACCTTTTTACAGATGTTCAAAATGACTACCTTTAACTTCCATACACTTTCGAATACGATAAATAAAAGATTGTTTCACACTATCGAGAAATTCCGATATCGCTTTTATCTGTTTCACAGAATAATTGAACTAGTCTAAAATATCAGTGACCTTGAAATTTCATAAAAAATGACAGTAAAAAAGATGTTTGCCTTAGTAGAGTATTAATTCCTTTAAATCGAACAATTTGCTTTTGACTTTTTTTACATCATCAAAGGAAACAGATATTCTCTCTCTCTCTCTCTCTCTCTCTCTCTCTCTCTCTCTCTCTCTCTCTC